CTAATGCCGTTTTCTCCCCACAAGTGAAATTATTACCTTCATTTTGGGGGCCCGCCATACATGTTTTTATGCCCTCACTACACATGGCACACTCGTGACAGAAAACCTTATGTAATGTGTGTATCGGTCTATAGCTTGTCTTTAGTCCGTTGTTTTTGAGGTCTGTCTACCCAGGTAGCATTTCCTTTGCTTTCCTGTCCAGTTGTATTATGATTATAGCAGTTTATCCTTCCGCCCCTTGATGATATTTAGCGTGTCGCTGACCTTTTGCTATTAGGAACAGCAAACTCTTCCATGAGTATTCCTATGTGTGGCTTCACGTGTATGTGTAATTGCTCTTCTGTGGGACCCGTGTGCCCGAGCGTCCTCTAGGAATTCAGCATTGCTGCAGGCGCAGCGGAGTGAACCGGCATCTGGTTGTTTTAATTTGCATTCCCTGATTAGCAGGCAGATGAATAATTACTTCAGACATTAACTTCCACTTGCATTTTTTCTTTAACTTATCTATTCATATATTTGGCCCTTTTTTTTTTTCTTTCAACTGATGGTCTTTTTTTTTGTTTTCAATCCTCACCTGAGAGTTTTTAAAAAAATTGATTTTAGAGAAAAAAAGGGAGGGAGGAAGAGACAGACAGGCATTGATGTGAGAGAGAAACATTGATCTGTTGCCTCCCATAGGTGCCTCTGCCGGGGACCGAGCCCGGAAGCTGGGCACGTGCCCGGCCCGGGAATGGGACTCGCCCGTTCGGCGCAGGCGACAGCGCTCCAAGCAGCTGAGCCCGCCGTCCCGGGCTCGATTGCCTGTTTCTAGTGGTTCTAGGAGTTTGGCGTTTGATTTGTGATCACATGCCCCTTGGTTCCTTGACCACGTCTGTGACAGATTCTCTGCTCCCTTCCAGACAGGGAAACTGAGATCCTGGCCGAGAAGCCGTTTCCACACCTGTGCTAGGAGGCACTGCTGGCTCCGGAGGGCTGAGCGAGGGAGGAGGTGGATGCTCTGTCTGCAGGAAAGGCCCCTCCCCTGACTCTGCCTCCTTCCTTCTGCGCTGTGTCCCAGGGCAGCTGTCCGGTGAGGTCTGCTCCCTCTGAAAGGCCTCCTGGAAGAGATCTGATGTGAGGGTGCCCTCTGTAACGGACAGGCAAACCTCTGTTGTCCCTGAGCCTCAGTCTCCGTATCTGTAAAACGGGCATGAGGAATATTATCCAAAAAGGAAGGAAATTTTAAAAAAATATATATTTTCTTGATTTTTTTTACAGAGAGGAAGAGAGAGGGATAGAGAGTTAGAAACATCGATGAGAGAGAACCATCGATCAGCTGCCTCCTGCACACCCCCTACTGGAGAGGTGCCTGCAACCAAGGTACATGCCCTTGACTGGAATCGAACCTGGGACCTTTCAGTCCGCAGGCCGACGCTCTATCCACTGAGCCAAACCGACTTCGGCAAGGAAGGAAGTTTTGATACATGCTGCAACATGGGTGAACCTGAGGACATTGTGTTAAGTGAAATGAGCCGGTCACAGAAGGACAGGTAGTGTGAGAGTCCACTGATAGGAGGGCCCAGGGGGTCAGATTGATGGGAAGTAGAATAGTGGTTGCTAGGGGTTGTGGGGGGATGGGAGAGCTTGGGGAGTTAGTGTTTAATGGGGACAGAGTTTATGTGACTGCTCTTAATGCCACTCAACTGTACACCTAAAAATGGTTAAAATGGTAAATTTTATGTTGTATGTATTTTACTACAAGAAAAAAGCGTGAGGAGAAAAATGGCACCAAAGCAATGCGCACCTCCTGGGCTTGGGGAGCCCCTGGGCGTGGCCCTCGGTCAGCCTGGGAAGGGGAGCCGCTCCAGCTGTGGGTGTTGGGTGTTTAGTCACCTTGAGTCACCGGCTCCTGGGGCGGTGGCTGCAGGGAGCTCCCCAACTGTGGGGATCCATCCCATCGCTTCCCAGCGGCCTTGGGGTTGAGCTGCTTCCTCCCTCTGCCCTTGCAGCCCAGGTCTGCCACCCCCTGCGGCCCACCCCTTCGCTCTACCCACTCTGGCCCATGCCCCTCTCGGGGCGCTCTTGTGACCCTCTGAGTTTATTGAGCACCTACTGTGTGCTGAGACTCCTGTCCCCAGTGGGTGCCTGGTCCTCTCCCACGTGGTGAGGAGCGTGAGGAGAGGTGTGCACCAGCCAGCGCTCACTGCCCGCCGCTCCGCACTAAGCTCTGCAAAGCACGAAGGAGCATGGACCTTCCCAGCAGCCCCGCCAGGTGTCCCGCCCTGTGTTCGTGCAGAACCTAAAGCTGCCGGCCAGCGCAGAGCTTGCCCAAGGCCCACCTCCCGAAGCCTCCTCAGCACCAGGTCGGCATCATCTCTGCTCCTTAGCCTCAGGTGCCCCTCCCGGCACACGGGGTCGTTATCCGGGCACTCCTCTGCCTCTCCCACCCGTCTCACACTCACACTGGACCCGAGGCTCCTGCAGTGGGGACACAGCTCGGTCACTTTGCCCCACAGACCAAGCCCAGGGCTAAGCAGAGTCCAGGATGTGCTTCGAGACCAGGTGTTCGGGTGGGGACGGGGACGGGGACGGGGACGGGGGGGTGGGGGGGGTTAAGGCATGCTGGGTCAGAACAGACAGGACTGTTTCCTGCCCTCTGAGCCTCAAGCTCCCTCACCTGGAACCAGCGCTGCGAACAGTTCCCGCCTCAGACCAGGGTCAGGACGGCAGCAGGTGCACAGCCCAGGATAGCAGGGCCCGGAGGCCGCCTCGCTGTGAGGCTGGGCGTCCTCGGTCCTGACACACCCACTCCCCTCGGAAACCACATCCTGCCTGGTCAGAAACAGTCTCCACCCCCCACGCCTGGCATCCTGCATGGCCCACTCAGCCTGGATTTTCCGGGCAGGCTGCCGCAGGCCCCAGCCCTCTCCTCCCAGCCCCTCTTCTCTTCCGGCCCCCCATCATCGGGTGTCCCCCGGAGGAGGACTTGGGGAGCCAGGAGGGTGGGTCAAATGTCTGGGTGTCTTGCTGGAGGCTGGCTGCCTGGTTCAGCAGGCCTCCCCTGGAGTGCCACTTTCCCGGGAGTGTGGGTGGTGAGGAGCAGCTGGTCATTAGAGGGCCCGGCCTTTCCGTGGCGGCTCTCCTGGCCCGCGCCTGTTGGCCTCACCGGGAGGCTCACCTGGGACGGAGCCACCGGCCAGGGCGGAGCTGGTGTCTGCTGGCCCTGCAGTGACCTGGGCTCTGGGGCTGGGGAAGCTGCACTCTGTGCTCTGTCTCCTGGGGCCATGCTGTGTGGGGCCCTGGGCAGGTGGAGAGAGGCCAGACTTTGGTAAGGACCCGAGCAGGGAGGTGTCGGGGGCATGGTCTCAGCTCTGCCCTCGGTTTATAAGAGTGACACTGGGCGGGTGACTCGACCTCTCTGGGCCTTAGTTCCCCATCTGTGGAATGGGGCTGAAGATAGCCCTCCATCCTGGCATCTAAGGGGTTCCACGAGAGGACCCCATGGTGAGGCCTAGCTCGGTGCCTGCACAAGTCCGTCTCAGGGCCCCGGTTTTTCCACGGGGTCCTGTTTGCTTTCCTTCTGTCCTCCCCACACATCCCAGCATGCTCTAGAAGGACAGGGTGGGGAGTTTGCAGGGAAGCCCTGTTTTAGGAAACATTCATACTGTTGTCATTATTTATAGTATGAGTAATCAAAATAAGGGGGCCCAGTCCCATAACCTGGCACCCTTGTTCCTCTCCCAAGAGAAACAGATCCATTTGTCAAAACACAGGATTTAACCTTCGTTTTAAAGTCTAGGTTACAAAATAGGGTGTAAAGTAAAATCACAGTTTTATTTTTAAAAACATACACAGAAAGGACTAGAAGGTTATTACTCATTGAAAAGGTAACAGGGGTAACTCTGGGCGTGCTTTCACAGGGGCCTTCAGTTCTAGCCTCACGCTTTTCGCCTTTTCCCAGGCCTCCTGCAAACATCAGGTACCTTCTCGTCCCGTTCCTCTGACATGGCTCGTTCCCGGAGCACCGGGCCTGGCAGAGCGACACGGAGGAGAGTCCTTGCCCACGTTTATTCCGTGGCAGCCTCCTGTACGCCACGGGCTGAGTTCCTGAATGTGGCTTCTCAGCTAGTGCTTCCCAAACCTGGCCAATCACTAGTGTCACCGAAGTCACGTATTAAAAAATCACCCCCAAAAATCAAATTCCTGGCTCTACCCGGGATCTGCGGAATTGGTCTCTTCTGGGAGGGACCTGCTGCTACTGCTTTTAATTTCTGTATACACACACGTGGCGGACGCAGCCAGAGGCCATTTTCCATAGTGCATCGTCAGGATCTGCCTTCCTGCTTCCAGTTGAGAACATGTTGTTCTCTTGTCCCCTCACCCAGGAGCTGCTCCTGCACTTCGGTGTGTGTCCTCCGGTTCCCCCAGGGCTCCCAGAATCCTGTGTGGACACACTGAGGCGTGCTCAGACTTCCCTGTTTGGCTTACAAAAGTGAGCCCCCCCCCCCTTCTGCATTTGGCTTTTCTCAGACTCTGAGAAATGGCTTCAGGTCGCTGGCTCAGCTTCCCGGCAGCTGGCTCTGAGTGAACTGGTGGTTTCAACAAGCCCCTCCAGTCGGTCTGATCAGTAAGAGCAAGCATGTCAAACTCAGAGGCTAACGGGCCAAATAAATGAGGCATACAGGCCACGAGTTTGACATGCTTGAATAAGAGGATAGGGTCTAGCCAATATCCCGAATGCTCCCGTGAGCCTGCATTAGCCACCTGTCATTGTGGGTCCTCATCTCAGTGCTCAGTCTTCCTGTCTGTGAAATGGGGAGGCTGCCTGCCGCCCCCACAGTGGTTTCCGGAGAAAGGCTGATCCGGGGGCTGCCACACGAGTGGCAAGCTCTGACTCCCAGCTAGACTAGAGGTGGAATTTTGGACAACGAGGTCATTGTCTCCTTCCCTTGACCCCTGGGTCCCAGAAAGCCAGGCCGCCCTGCAGTAATCCCTCCTGTGGGTGCCTTTCAGGTTGAACCATGATTCCGGTGACCGAGCTCCGCTACTTTGCGGACACACAGCCGGCGTACCGGATCCTGAAGCCGTGGTGGGACGTGTTCACCGACTACATCTCCATCGTCATGCTGATGATCGCGGTCTTCGGGGGCACGCTGCAGGTCACCCAGGACAAGATGATCTGCCTGCCCTGTAAGTGGGTCACCAAGGACTCCTGCAACGACTCCTTCCGGAGCTGGGCCGCGTCCGCCCCGGAGCCCGTCTACCCCAACTCCACCGTCCTGCCGAGCCCCGACACCGGCCCCACCGGCATCAAGTACAACCTGGACCGGCACCAGTACAACTACGTGGACGCCGTGTGCTACGAGAACCGCCTGCACTGGTTCGCCAAGTACTTCCCCTACCTGGTGCTGCTGCACACGCTCATCTTCCTGGCCTGCAGCAACTTCTGGTTCAAGTTCCCGCGCACCAGCTCCAAGCTGGAGCACTTTGTGTCCATCCTGCTCAAGTGCTTCGACTCGCCGTGGACCACGCGGGCCCTGTCGGAGACGGTGGTGGAGGAGAGCGACCCCAAGCCGGCCTTCAGCAAGATGAACGGCTCCATGGACAAGAAGTCCTCCACCGTCAGCGAGGACGTGGAGGCCACGGTGCCCATGCTGCAGCGGACCAAGTCTCGGATTGAGCAGGGCATCGTGGACCGCTCGGAGACGGGCGTGCTGGACAAGAAGGAGGGGGAGCAGGCCAAGGCGCTCTTCGAGAAGGTGAAGAAGTTCCGGACCCACGTGGAGGAGGGCGACATCGTGTACCGCCTCTACATGCGGCAGACCATCATCAAGGTGATCAAGTTCATCCTCATCATCTGCTACACCGTCTACTACGTGCACAACATCAAGTTCGACGTGGACTGCACCGTGGACATCGAGAGCCTGACGGGCTACCGCACCTACCGGTGCGCCCACCCGCTGGCCACGCTCTTCAAGATCCTGGCGTCCTTCTACATCAGCCTGGTCATCTTCTACGGCCTCATCTGCATGTACACGCTGTGGTGGATGCTGCGCCGCTCCCTCAAGAAGTACTCCTTCGAGTCCATCCGGGAGGAGAGCAGCTACAGCGACATCCCCGACGTCAAGAACGACTTCGCCTTCATGCTGCACCTCATCGACCAGTACGACCCGCTGTACTCCAAGCGCTTCGCCGTCTTCCTGTCGGAGGTGAGCGAGAACAAGCTGCGGCAGCTGAACCTCAACAACGAGTGGACGCTGGACAAGCTGCGCCAGCGGCTCACCAAGAACGCGCAGGACAAGCTGGAGCTGCACCTGTTCATGCTCAGCGGCATCCCCGACACCGTGTTCGACCTGGTGGAGCTGGAGGTGCTGAAGCTCGAGCTGATCCCCGACGTGACCATCCCGCCCAGCATCGCCCAGCTCACGGGCCTCCAGGAGCTGTGGCTGTACCACACGGCAGCCAAGATCGAGGCGCCGGCCCTGGCCTTCCTGCGCGAGAACCTGCGGGCGCTGCACATCAAGTTCACGGACATCAAGGAGATCCCGCTGTGGATCTACAGCCTGAAGACGCTGGAGGAGCTGCACCTCACGGGCAACCTGAGCGCCGAGAACAACCGCTTCATCGTCATCGACGGGCTGCGCGAGCTCAAGCGCCTCAAGGTGCTGCGGCTCAAGAGCAACCTGAGCAAGCTGCCGCAGGTGGTCACGGACGTGGGCGTGCACCTGCAGAAGCTGTCCATCAACAACGAGGGCACCAAGCTCATCGTCCTCAACAGCCTCAAGAAGATGGTGAACCTGACCGAGCTGGAGCTCATCCGCTGCGACCTGGAGCGCATCCCCCACTCCATCTTCAGCCTCCACAACCTGCAGGAGATCGACCTCAAGGACAACAACCTCAAGACCATCGAGGAGATCATCAGCTTCCAGCACCTGCACCGCCTCACCTGCCTTAAGCTCTGGTACAACCACATCGCCTACATCCCCATCCAGATCGGCAACCTCACCAGCCTCGAGCGCCTCTACCTGAACCGCAACAAGATCGAGAAGATCCCGCCCCAGCTGTTCTACTGCCGCAAGCTGCGCCACCTGGACCTCAGCCACAACAACCTGGCCTTCCTCCCCGCCGACATCGGCCTCCTGCAGAGCCTCCAGAACCTGGCCATCACCGCCAACCGGGTGAGTGGGGGTGCTCAGGAGGCCCGGTGCCCGGGGACCTCCCCCGTGGTTCCCAGAACTGCCTCGAGGGGCCTCTAAAAGCACAGACTTCCCGGCCCCACTCCAGACCGGCCAGATCAGGACCGCAGTTCTGCCGGGAGGGACGTGCGGTCACGTTGGGGTCTGTCCCCACGGTGCCCTCGTGCAGGTTTCTCAGAGGCAGGATGTGCAGGGCAGGAGGTTCGAGGCCTGTGTTTTTCTCTCTCTGTCCGTCTCGGGGTTGGGTGCGGGAGGCTGGGACTGAGCCTGGATCTAGCGGTATTTCCCCAGCTGGGCCCAGACCAGATTTGGGGCTGCAGCGTCCGTCTGGTCCAGCAGGAACGGGAACTGCGGTGGCTGCCGTGCGCCGAGGGGAAGCCACGCCGCCTCCTCCACGGCTCCTGGCGCGCCGCTCTCCCTCTCTCGCCCGCGTTCGGGCGGTGGAGGGCAGAGCGGGGCGTGATTGGGGCTGACTTGCCACCACCTCTCTGGAGAGGATGTTGTGCAAACCGTTCGGGAGGCCACGCCCTGGAGACCGTTGCCATCCCAGTACGGTGGCCCCTCGCCTGGCCTGGGAAGCCCCCCACCCCTCCATAGAGGCGGGGGTGGGGTCAGGGCAGGGTGCTCCTGCGGTTTTGTGGTCTGGCCTGTGCAGTAGAGCAAAACACAGCCACTGAGGAGACCTCCCGCTCCCCTCCCGGCACCTGCACGGGGGTTGACAGTGGAAAGAGCAGCTTGTCTGAGTCCCTGCTCCCAAGATGGCAACTCCTAGTGAGGTGGGCAGTGATGGAGTCCGTGGCTAGGGGCTGGGACGCCGGATGGGGCCGATTCAGACACCGCGCCTGTGCCTCATCGGACACAGTGGCATAGAGCAGCCCCGTGGGTTAGAGCCGTGCTGTGTGTCAGCCCTGTGGGGGCAGTGTCCCTGCATCCCCCGTGTCCCAGCAGCCCCGAAACACCCTGCCCAGGGAAGGACGCGCCTCTCGGTGTCACTCGGACTGGGGGTCCAGGTGTGCCATTTAGAAGCGCCCCTCTTCCCGGAGCCTCTCTGACTGCAAACAGCCTGTCCCCGTATATCAGAGACGGGGCCACGTCCTGGTCCCCTCCCCGTTCGGACTGTGAGAATGCCTGAGGATGAACAGGGGAGAAGGTCAGACCCCACATGGCTTCACCCCGAGAATCTGCCCCTGGAGCTGGGCCTGTGTGTTGGGTTGCCCCAGAACACAGCTCCAGCCCAGGGCTTGATGGGCCTTCCTCCCAGGCTCCCCATCCTGTCCCCCACCCCCGCTGCCCACCCCAGTGTGCCTGTGAGGTCCTTCTGCTGGCTGAGGTCGCCCTCAGGGAAGGAGCTGGTGGCAGGCAGGCATCTGTCCGCAGGAAGGTGACCCCCCGTTCGGTGCATTACTTAGTCACATCCTGTCCCGCCGCCTGGAACGCCAGGGGCCTTCCCGGGAAGCAGCTCACTTCCCAGTCTTCAGGCTCCTCCTCCTCAGCTGGAGCCCCTCTCCGGCCTCAGGAGCCTGCAGGTGGAAAGGCAGGGTGGGTGGCCCAGCTCAGGCCCTTGACTAGCATGTTCCCAGTGTCACTGGTGCTAAGGGGAACCTGACAAGCAGGCATTCGCTGTCCACTCACTCAGTCACTTGTTCATCGACGTGGCAGGTGTTCTGAGCACTCAGTGAGCGCGGTGCCGGGGACACGGGCCTGAGCAAGGCCCACGGTGTGCCCCCCCTGAGCGCACTGTCTGGTGGGAAAGACACTCGGCACGATGCGGCCAAAGCACAGAGAGCCCGAGCCCACACTAACCCGGGGCGGGGGCCTCTGGGAGGAAGGAGGTTCCACCGGGCCCTGCAGGAGGAGGAGGAGGCAGCCAGGTGAGAGGGGAGGGTCTGGCAGGTCCAGTCCCTGGAGTAACTGACAGCGGAGGCGAGGACCGATGGGGAGGACCGTGAGCCAGCGAAGTCCAGAGGAATTTGGACTTTCCCTGAGGGCAGGCCCAGGCTGTCCACCAGGCTGGGAGGAGCATCCTGTCCCTCCCACTTCCCTTCCAGTGAGCGGATCTCTAAACCGTTCCCATTCCTCCTACCAGGCCAGGCTCTCAGGACAGGACCTGGCTTTTTCTGCTCAATGCAGATGTCCGCTGAGCTCTTGCTGATTAAGTGAATAGAGGAGCAAGCTGACTTGCAGTTTAGAGATTGCCCCGGGAAGGGAGAGGGTGGGGTGGAGGGGGCAAGGTGAGCAGAACGGTGCTGATGGAAACCCGTGTGGCAGCAGAGGCTGCAGGGATGGGGAGAGAGGATTTCCAGGGTTTGGGGTGGGACCCACAGAACGTGGGCTGGCTGATGGCTTGAGGTTTCTCACCCGGCTGCCTGGGAGAGAGGTGGAGGTCATTGAGACAGGACACGGGTGGAGGCAGGTTATCAGAGGAGATTGTATGTCCAGTGCCGGGTGTCTGGGGCCCTGGGATGTCCAGGAGGCCATGTAGAGTCAGCCTAAAGCTCAGGTGTTGTGGCCCAGGGCTCGGGGAAGGAAGGAAGTCAGGTGGAGCTTTTGGGTAGAGGACAGAAGAGCAAGGCCAGGCAGGGTGTGGGCTCATGGCACGTGAGGGGCCAGGGGGAAGGAGAGCGGGTTTCAGGGTGGATGGGGAGGAGGCTGGATCACACAGCGGGCTGAGGAGGGATGGCAGCTTTCCAGGTCATTGTTGGGGAGGTTGGAGAATGGTGGAGCAGCCCCAGAGGCTTCTGGAAGGTTGTCTTTTTCAAAGATCAGGTAGATTGGAGGCCACCTCAGGGCTGGTGGGGGGGACACTGAGGTCCCTGAGGAGGTGGGACCGAGCAGGACTGGGGATGAACAGCACCTCAGGAGAAAGGGCGGGAGCCAGTGCAGCCTCCTTCGTGTGTCTGGAGAGAGGACGTGGCTGGGCAGGGGTGTTCCGGGAGAGGGTTTTCAGGGAGGGAGCTCTGCATGTGAACCCCGGCTCCGTCACTCATCCCCGGAGCCTTTCCCGGGCTCTGACCACGGCCGGTGCCACCAGAGCGTGCCACTGTGGGGGCAGTGGGGTGTCTGGAAGCTTTGGCTCTCGGTACTGCTGGAGTCCCTGTTCCATCTTCCTCTCGCCGTCTGTCCCTGCAGTGGCCCATTCCTGACCACTGGGCACAGCGGGGCCATTTCGGAAGTTTCCCACGCCAGGAGTTTCCTTTAACATAGCCTGTGTCCCTCCTAGCGTGGCCTCTGCCACAGCCACAGCCACACGGGTTTTCTGCTGCAAGGACACGTTCCTCACCTGGAATGAGTTCCTCTTCCAAAGATGGCCGAGAGGGCAAGAGCCTCCTAGGTGGAGGCCCAAGTCTGCCCAGAGACCGCAGCACAGATCCGGCCGAGAGGCATCCTCAGCTCAGCCTTCGCATTCTGCAGCGGGAAACTGAGGCCCAGGCAGGGAAAGGCTCTGCCCGGGCCGCCGAGCGCCGTATTTGGCAGAATGGAGCTGTGGCAGGGCTCTGAGTCAGCGGAAGCAAGGCCGGCCCTTCCTGGCTCTGCACGTCCCATTTCACTTCCCCAGCCGTGGCCTCCTCGCAGGACAATGGGGCCGGGGCAGCCTCAGTGGTTAGGATTCCTCCCATGCGTTACCTCTGAAGGAGGTCATCTCAGGACACCCTGGCTCAGTAAGAACGCGTGTTGCTAGCTGACACTCGGAGACGGCAGGGGAGAAGCTGGCCTTCCCTGTGCCCGCAGACAGCGTCCCCACTCGGCCCCCTGCTCGCTCCTTGTTCCACCAACAGTGCAGACGCTTAGCAGAGTGTGTGCTCTTGAACCAGGTTTAAATATTAACTCCACCTTCCTGGGCAAGTTAGCTTCTCGGGGGCCTCAGTTATCCCATCTGGAAAATGGGAAGAGTGTTTGCGGAATATTTGCAGCTCCGTTCTAGGGTTAAGAGAGTTAAACCGGACTGAGTGCTGAGCTAATGAGTGTTGCCCATTACTCTGCTTTTGCAAAATCAGGAAGAGGGGACTCTGCCTTGCCGCTGGGCTCCGTGCTCTCTCTCGTGAGCAGCCTGGGACCTGACAGGAGAAAACGGGCCCAGGAAAGGGGGGGGGGGGTGACACAGCTGGGATTCTCCCGCCTGTGGCCAGCTCCCCCGGTTCCCAGCAACACGTAAGGCCGAGGAATCTTCTCAGCATGCTGCTCTGCTCTCCTAAACTGTCCTTCACCGGCCAGGACCCACAGCCTGGCCCTTGGGGAGCCCTGGGTGAGGGATATGCTAGCGGGATATGCTCTTAGGGTGGCAGGTGTGGAGACAGCGGGCAACAAGGTGGACCCGGTCCTGCCCACTCAGAGCTCCAAGTCCTGGGGTGGCAGATCAGGCAGTGGCAGCACGGGGAGGGCAGTGCTGCGGGGCACAGGGGTGCCAGATTGCTCAGGCGGGCATGGGAGGCTCCTGGAGAACGTGACCACAGAGCCGAGGCCTTAAGTGCAGGCGGCAGCGAGCCAGCCTCTGGCCCGGGTTGTGCTGGTGCGGGCCTCAGAGAAGGTGCCGGTGCCCGGGACAGGGGAGGGAGGGAAGCCTGGGAGCCAGAGGCCCTCGGCCTGAGTCATGCCCACCTCACCTTCCCGTCCTTCCCTCTAGATCGAGGCGCTGCCCCCGGAGCTGTTCCAGTGCCGGAAGCTGCGGGCCCTGCACCTGGGCAACAACGTGCTGCAGTCGCTGCCCTCGCGGGTGGGCGAGCTGACCAACCTGACCCAGATCGAGCTGCGGGGCAACCGGCTGGAGTGCCTGCCCGTGGAGCTGGGCGAGTGCCCGCTGCTCAAGCGCAGCGGCCTGGTGGTGGAGGAGGACCTGTTCAACACGCTGCCGCCCGAGGTGAAGGAGCGGCTGTGGCGGGCCGACAAGGAGCAGGCCTGACCGTGCGGACCGCCGAGCGCAGGGACCACCGGGCCTCCTCCGGCCCCGGCGCCCAGGAGCCCGCCTCAGCCGGGGGGCAGGACGGGAGCTGGGCCAGGTGACCGGCAGCACCTGAGGGGCTGGCCCCTTTGCTCTCTGAGACTGTGCCCGCGGGCGCCTGCGGGGAGCTGGGGACCTGTGATCTGTCTCAGAGCCGTGTTTGGACAATCAGGCCTCCTCCCTGGAGGCCGTCCCTGCCCCAGGGGCTGAGCCATGCAGAGGTCTGGGGACATCAACTGAGCTCTTGGTATTTATTTTCTCCACCTCCGCTCCCTCCTCCGATAACTTACACATTCCCGAGGAACGCTCCCGTGGGGGTGTTGGAGGGAGGGGGGGCTGTTTTGCTTTTCCTTCTGTGGCGCCGCCGCCAGCATTTAGTGCCCACCGGGACCTGAGCAGAGCGGCCAGGGAGATCACCCCGGGGTGCCAGGCTGGGCTCTGGGGCCCGGCGTGGAGAGCAGGCCACCAGGTGGGAAGGCCAGGCCTGGGGCTTGCCTCACCCGCTTTGGCTTTTTTTTTTTTTTTTTAAGTCAAACTTTTTTTAAGCTTTGAAAACGGAGGGTTTGGATATTAAAAAGAAAAAAACTTAAAAAAAAAAAAAAAAAAAAAAAAGACACTAAAGGCCAGTGAGCTGGAGTCTCAGGGTGGGCGGCAGGGGCCGGACCGAGTGTTTCCTTCCCGGGGTGTCTTCCGAATCTGGTGACCTTGGTCCAGAGTTCTCTTTGTTCCTCTCCTCCCCTGGGGGGGGGGGGGGCTTTGCTGTTTTGTTTTCCGTGTCTTGTTTTCCTTCTCCCCCATGTGTCTTGGCAGGCGCTCGCCGCTGTGGCCGCTGGCCAGAGGGAATGTTCTGGAGCTGCCAAGACGGGAGGAGACTCGGGCTGGCTACTCCCCGGGCGAACGGTGCTCCCTCCTCCCTGCCCCTCGTCACAGTGTTAGGAGCCAGGAGGGGCTGCCTCTCGGACTCTGCTTCCCCACCTCCTGTGTCAGGAGTGTGCCCGGCGCCACCCCTCACCCCCGCTGCTCCCGTCCGCACAGACAGTGGGAGGCGGCAGGCGGCGGTGGGGAGGTCGCCCCCCGGAAAAGCGGGCTCCCCAAGCCTGGCACCCGGGGCCCGCTCAGCGCCCGGGGTCGAGAAGCCCTCACTGTGGATCGGTCAACGGGCTCCGCCTTAGATCAATCGCTTGGACACTAAGGCACGTGTCAGCGTCTCTCGTCTGAACAATCACGTCTCTGTCCCTCTGTGTGTTCTGCGTCGCGTCATTGAATGTTACCCTCGGAAATAACGCACACTAGCCTCTGACAACCACGAAGCAATCCGTTACCTGTGGGTCTGAACTGTAGACTCGTTCGAATATCAAATAAACCTGTCACAGAAAGCGCTCTCTGGAGGGTCCATGTCGTGGGGAGACCCTCCCCTCCGCTCAGCTGCTGCGCTCACCTGCTGGTGTTGGAGGGGGGCCCGGCCAGTGGTCCCACAGCCAGCACGTGCGCTGTGGGCAGGGTGCCTGTGGGTGGGCCCTCTGAGCTTTGCAGTGGGGGAGGGGGGGCACCGAATGGGACTCAGTTGTCTCAGGCTGTGTCCCAGCGCCTCACCTGCAGGAAGCTGGGCAGATACTTTCCTTCCCGAGGCCTCCTCATCCTCATCTGTCCAATAGGAACTTCCTCCCTGCGCTGTCCTAGGTTCTTGTCATCCCAACAGCCAGGCCCCAGGGCTCCTCAGAGGCGGGGCTGAAGTGACCTCAGGGGCCTGCCGAAGGTGCTGGGGTCCAGGGCAGAGGCTTAGCCTGCCCTCAGATCTTAGCACAGCTATTATACCCTGATGTGAGGCCTCAGTTTCCTTATCTGTGAAAGGGTGGGGCTGCAGGATTGTTCTGAGGCTGACTCATGCTGGGCCTGGGTCCCTCTAGGGCCCCCCTGAGTCTCCATTGTGAGTGGAGGTCTTCGCTTACTCGGGTCTGGCCACTCCCTCCCCTCCCCTGCCTGTCCCCACCCCAGCATTGGGGCCGCCCAGTGTCCAGAGCAGGAGTGTTTGATCTGGAGCTGGTTAGTTTTTGGAGAAAACAAACACCACCCACCCACTGCTCAAAACCTAAACAGGCCCTAGCCGGTTTGGCTCGGTGGATAGAGCGTTGGCCTGTGGACTGAAAGGTTCCAAGTTTGATTCCGGTCAAGGGCATATGCCCAGGTTGTGGGCTCAATCCCCAGTGGGGGGCATGCAGGAGGCAGCTGACCAGTGATTCTCATCATTGATGTTTCTGTCTCTCCCTTTTTTTTCCCTCTATGAAATTAATAAAAATATATTTTTTAAAAGAAGTTTTTAAATAAGACAAAATGAAACACCGGAGCAGAATAAATGAACAAATCTCAGGAGACCCAGTTCCTTCCCTTCCCCCTCCCCGCCAGGATTCTCCACTTAAAACCCAGTGGTTGTCTTTTCTCTGATTGCAAGAGCAGTTTGGAAAATTTGGGTTAAATTCAAAAATAAAAACGCCCACATCCTACCCAAAACAGCCCAGCTAACTTTTGGTGAGTAGTTGGTATTGTTAACGAAAAAACCACTGAAACCTGTACAGAATTTTTGTGAGTTTATTTGAGCCAAACTGTCGACATATGCCAGAAGCAGAACCTCAGTGGATTGAGATAATGCTCCGAAGAATGGCGGGTTACATTTCTCTATTTATACACTGAAATCAAAGGAGGGATGTAGGTGGGTTACATGGAATTCCTTGGTGATGGAGTAAGGAGGCGGGAGAAAGCAAAGCGGTGGGAAAGTCCTGGGATGGGATAAAAAGTAAAATGATGGACACTACTCAAGTGGGTGCAGGAACAATTAACCCGATAACGAAGGAATTTGAGGCATCTGTCCTGGCGCCCACCACTTTTGGTTGTGCCCCAGAGGCTCCAGAAAAAGGAAAGCCACAAGTTACCGAGACATCTCACAGATATGTTATCTTAGAGGCAAATAGGCAAATGGGCTCAGTAAAGTAGATTGAAGTTGATCTTTGGGAAAATATCGGCCTAGGACATGACTACCCACTATAACCAGTGTGTAGTTAAAATATTTAGTTTTCAAACCATCTTTTGTGGTTAGTTTAGGTCTCTGAGTTTGCAAGACTGCCACGCAGGCCTCCCCTGAGCTTGTCAGGTTAGCAGGTGGCTCTTTTCTTTCACAGTGGGCATTTACTAAGTGCCAGACCTGTGCCACGCTCTGTTAGTGGTGAATTGTCTTCCTTACAAGAGAGGGACTTCTGCTATCCCCAAATTATAGGCGGGGAAGGGAAGGCTGGGCGTGGGTGGAGCCCAGGCTGCCCCTGAGGCTCCCAGGGGAGCTGTTAAGCCCTCACGGTGGCCCTCACTGCACTCCCAGCACATGTCCATCCGCTGGGTGGCTGCATGGGAAGGGGCCATGCTAGCGAGTGAGCCGAGTATCTCCCACATGGTTCTGCCAGCCCCTCCCCTCCCAGCCTAACCCTGCGAACCTCTTGTCCCTCCAGCTCCCAGAGCTCGGAGCTCGGCGACGCTTTCCCTCCCCTGCCCTCCCAGGGAGGCTGGGGCCAAGCAGCTGCGCCCACTGCGGTGCCCAGGAAACAGAATTGGACTCTGGGCCAGGGCTCCTGAGGGCCGAGCGTGTCCCTGCACTCACTCCTGAGACACTCTGTCCCTTGGCCATTCAGAAAACGTCATTTCAGGGAAGGCCAGTGGCCGGTTTGTCAGAAGCGGCAGCCAGAGGGCCCTGTGTGCAGCTGAGCAGCGCTGGCCAGGAGGGTGGGTGTGCAGGCTGTTTCCAGCCCTGGCCGCCGCTGTGCCAGCCTAGCTTGAGACCCCCTTGGGCCTGGAGGTAGGGAACGGGAACCGTGGCTCTCCCTCATTCTGCAGACCCAGGCCCCCTGCTCTCTAGCCTCTTCCTTTTTAAAAAAAAAAAAAAAAAAAAAAGTTTGTATCGCCAAAACCAGTTTGGTTCAATGGATAGAGCGTCGGCTTGGGGACTGAAAGGTCCCGGGTTTGATTCCGGTCAAGGGCATGTACCTTGGTTGCCGGCATATTCCCAGTAGGGGGTGTGCAAGAGGCAACTGATCGATGACTCTCTCTCATCGATGTTTCTAACTCTCTATCTCTCTCCCTTCCTCTCTGTACAAAATTAATAAAAATATAAAAAAATAAGAAAAAAGGTTTGTATTGATTTTGGAGAGGGAGAAATAGGACCATCAATGATGAGAAAGAGTCATGGATCAGCTGTCTCCTGCACCCCCCCTGCCCCCCAAGAGATCAAGCCCGCAACCCAGGCATGTCCTCTGACAGGGACTCTAACCATGACCTCCTAGTTCATAAGTCTACGCTCGACCACCGAGGCATGTTTTGGGAGAAAAAAAAAGCTGAGCTACCTCTTCTTCCTCCTAAGGTTCTCCTTATCTTTTCCCTTCCTGTCAGCTGCAGACTGATCTCCACACTCCCTCCCACAAACCTCCCAGCACCGGGAGAGTCCAGCTGGGAGGGGCCCAGACCATCCCCTGAAGAGACGTCTTCCACCTTTGGCCTGGGGATGTGAAGCCAGCCGGGGCCAGTCTGGCGTGCATGTCCCCCAGCCTCCACCCTCCCTCCCCAGATGCTGCTGCTGGGTCTGGGGACTTGGGTCACAATTAGTGGTGGCACCTGGGCTGGCCCTCAGGTGTCCTATTGTCTGCCCAACTTTTTTCGCCCAGATACCTCTTAAGTTCAACTTCTGGGCACCTGGAAGCAGCCAGCCCCAGGGAGGGAATGGGGGTGGAGGCAGGAAAAACCTTGAAGGAGATCAGAAAGGGTTAATCCTGGATTAGCTGGGAAGATGGACTCAGGGTGTGGGAGGACCCCTCTAGGCACATGAGTCAGAAAGAGCCTGAAAAAACTACCCCAGGCTGATCTGGGGTGGGGCTGTGGCCCGGACAGAGTTTCCTCTGGGTAGGGAATGGTTAAGTCCTTCTGGGCCTCCCAGGTTCTATCCACTCTCCCACTCTCCCTCCCGACCTTTTCCCCTCCAGCCTTGGGCACAGCACCAGCGCTGAGAGCCTCTGACCACTCAGCCTCGTCCTCATGGCCTGCCTGAGCCCCGCGCAGCTCCAGAAGGTAGGGGCCTGCAGGGTGGGGGCAGGGAGGATTGGGTAAGAGTGGGAAGACCCTCTGGACTGGACGGAAAGTACCCCCGGTTCCTAGAACAACCCCTGGCACATATCCCATGACAGTTTTCAACAAAAGAAACGAAGGCAGAGGGCTCGATTCCCCTCAGGATCTCTGGCTTCTGAACACAAAGCCTGGCGTCCAGACCACAGCCCCGGGGTGGGAAGGGAGTGTGTGCATATGTGACCGAAACCCATAATAAGGCTCCTGGATCTGCCAGTCCCAGCCGCCCGGGATCCGGGCCTGCGATTCGGGGGCGGGGCCGGCCCGGGGTGATTGTCTCTCTGAGCCATGCTTGGGTGCCAGGGTCCATGTACTTTAAACACAAAAGCCTAGCTCATGGGAATGGGAGAGACACAGGCTTTTCAATAACATAACCCTTGTTGTTCCTGATGACGAGAGAAAAGTGCAGGACGACCCAGAGGGACTCACAAGAAAATGTAAAGCCACGCCATCAATCCTTACGCTGGCACAGTATTTTGGTATGCAGCCACGGAATCTTTGTAAGGCCCCTGGTGATAGCTGAGAATGATCGCTTTGAGCCATCTGCCCAAGTTCTCACAGTGGCCAGGATACCCATTTGCATTTGGCTTTTTTTTTTTTCCCCCATCAGGAATATATTTCCATGTCAGTAAATATTTTTCTACCACATGATGTTTTTCAGATGTTGTGTCCCAGACAGACTGACTGTACTCGGTTGAACAAATCCCTTTGTGCTGAGCGTGTAGATTATTTCTGACTCATTGCCGTCACTGAACAAGCCTCGTGAACACCCCCTCACCTTCATCTCTGCTCCCCTGTTTGATAATCCTCCGACTTCTTTTCATTTCTTTTAAATTTGCACTCAAGAATATATTTAGGGAGAGGGAAGGATAGAGAGAGAAAGAGAAACATCAGTTGGTTGCCTTCCCAAACTCACCCTGACCAGGGATCGAATCTAGGTATGTGCCCTGGTTGGGAATCGAACCCACAACCTCTTGGTGTACTTGGCTCCAACTCACTGAATGAACCACCCAGCCAGGGCCCTCCAATGTCTTATCTCAATAATGCTAGCCCTGTGTCAGGATCTCGGGTATGCACACTTAGCTGCGGGTGACCCAGTTCCCAGGGGGGTGGTTTTCTGCTTGATTCTGAGATGAGGATTGAGTTTCCATCACGCAGAGCTGCCCAGAGACTGAGGGCCCATGGGGAGGAGGGGGGGAGGGGTGCAAATGTCCCAACACCCTCTTGTGCATGGGAAGCGGAGCTGAGCATCCGTGGAGGAGAGAATGGGGTCAGTCATTGGACATCAGACTCTTCGCAGGGGTTCAGGAGGTGACTCAATGCCCCTATTCAGGCGACAACTTCATATCTGCAAGGAGACATGCAGGTGCTCTGTCCTACCCCCATAGCCTCAGAATGAGGGGACGGGGCAAATCAGAGCAAGCCAAGGGCTTTAATGCTCAGCTGCACTGATGCCAAAGCCCAGCCCCCAGCGTGACCTGACCCCTGCCACCTCCCATCTCCCTTCCAGGCCTCCCCCACTCTGCACCATCGGGTCCCCATCCTGCTCCCTCCCCTGGAGTGCTCCTCCTGGTCCCTCCCCCTCCCATTATCCTGCTGGTCCCTTTAAATGTCACTTCCTCAGGGCTGCTGCCCTGAGACCTCCCGCCCTCCCCATCTGGTTCCCATTAGACTCTTCCTTTAGTTCTAGAACGGTCCTCTTCCTCCTGGCTCTCAGCAGTTTGTGACATCTGCTCCCCTGGTGCGGCCTGTTCCCATCAGCCAGCCGCCTCCGTTGGACTGGAAGCTCCGGGAAGGCAGGCATCCTGGCTGGTTTCTTGTCACTGAGTCTCCGGCTGCTACACAGACTGTGCTCCATCAATTATAACATGAATGAGGTTATATTCCCCTGTGGTCCAAGACCACCGGATCACTGGACGGGGAAGGGGGACACCTTACCTTTCCCTTCCCCCTTCCATCGTTCCAGAGAGAGGAAGGGAGAGGGAGAGAGAAACACTGATGAGAGAGGAACATTGACCAGCTGCCTCCTGCATGCCCCCACTGGGGATCGATTCCATGACCTTTTGGTTCATGGGTCAACACTCAACAGCTGCCGAAACCGATTTGGCTCAGTGGATAGAGTGTCGGCCTGGGGACTCAAGGGTCCCAGGTTCGATTCTGGTCAAGGGCATGTAACTTGGTTGTAGGCACATCCCCAGTAGGAGGTGTGCAGGAGGCAGCTGATTGATGTTTCTGGTCAAGGGCATGTAACTTGGTTGTAGGCACATCCCCAGTAGGAGGTGTGCAGGAGGCAGCTGATTGATGTTTCTAACCTTCTAGCCCTCTCCCTTCCTCTCTGTAAAAAATCAAATAAAATATATATATTTTTAAAAACACTCAACAGCTGAGCTGCACTGGCTGGGCTTTTCCAGCCAATATGGACTGCTCCTCACTGGGGGCCGAGCACTGCGGCCGGAGTGGGGGCAGAGCAATGGACAGGACACTTGGTCCTGCCTTCACATAGTCTGAGGTCCGGTCAGTTCTCCAGGAAAGAATGTCTGAGGGCGAGGAAGCCTGAGCCCCCTCCTGCCTGTAGTTCCAGGAGGATGGATTCCTGGTGCTGGAAGGATTCTTGTCTGCAGACGAGTGTGCAGCCATGCAGCAGAGGATCGCGGAGATAGTGGCCGAGATGGACGTTCCGCTCCACTGCCGCACAGAGTTTTCCACGCAGGAGGAGGAGCAGCTGCAGGCGCAGGTGGGTGCTGGGGCAGTGAGGTGCCGTCTGGTCTTCGATGGGAGCTCCGGCCCCAGCCAGAGCGGCAGCCTGGAGGCCCTCGGCTCATTCTGAAAACAGATCAGGCTCCAGCCTTCCATGTGCCAGGCTGCAGGCTAAGAGTCCTGCATGCATAGTTTCTCCGATCCTCAGTATGAATGTCTAAGGCCAGCATTCTTGTCCCCATTTGACAGGTGGGGAAAATGAAGGTTGGCCCAAACCATGGGGTTTTAACCCAGGTCTGTCTGGTGCCAAACCCATGCCGTTCACTGCTCTGCCCTTTTCCTCAGTAGCTCTCCTGTCTCAAAGGGCCTCCTGGTGGCCAGGGACCCCCAACATGAGCCAGGTGATTCTGATGTGCCCACCTGGGTAGGGTTTAGCCCCCCGTGAGGCTGGAAACTCTGCCCGTTTCCCTCCAGTGACCTAATACCACTCAGTCCAGTTTGAGACGGGGAAGTTGAGACTTGGGGATTCGTCCACAGTTCTCTACCCAGCCCCCAAACCAACACTGTCTGTGGTCCAGGCCCCCCGATGGGCCTCACATTCATGCTGAGGAGCTGCTGCCACCTGGTGGGCACAAAGGGAATCACAATGGCTGAAGCCATGCAATCAAACAGGACAGGGACTTCAGGAGGAAAAGGGTTACAGAATGATAATTTCCTCTAAAGGGTTAGTTTCATTTGTCAGCCTTCTACATCTAGCATCGTCACCTGCAATGTCATTAATATCAATTACGCTTCCCTGACGTGTTTCCCTCCCCCTATCCCAAACCTTTCACTTTTCAGTGAGGAAGGCTTTGAAGGGGCCATGTAGACACGTGTAAAGCAGTGGTAGGACCCACGTGTGGGGATTGGTGCCACCCACTCCACTCGTTTGCCGTGGCAGAAAGGCAGGGAGGTGGCGGCCAAGGGTGGCTGAAGCCACAGGAAAACATGGGACATCTTTCTGGAACATCATTTCTAGGTGATGCTGAGAAATCGGACATGATATTAAAGTTAACAGGGAGAGGTGATTAAGACATAAAGAACAGGCATCGCTCATATTCATCAAGCACAGCCATGCCCTTGTGGAGTGTTCTCTAGTTAGCAGCAGTAACGTTAGCAAAAGCAGATGCATGTGACTCAACGGCACTCCAAGGACGGTCCTAGTGCTCTGTATGTACCTGCTCGTGATCCTTACAACCTCCCGGGAGATAGGAGCCCTAATAGCAGCTGCATCTCATGAGGAAATGAAGTGCAGAGAGGCTCAGCGGCGTGGTTAGAGTCACAGCCAGTCAGCAGCAGTGCTGGGATTCCCACCCCAGTACTCTGGCTGCAGGGCCTGTGCTGTCCCTGCTATAAGATTCGCCTCTACCTCAAGCCTCCAACAACCCCTGGAGGTCAGTTCTGTTATCCCCTTTGCAGGAGGAAACGGAGGCTCTGAGAGGCACCGCAAGCGCCCCAGCCTATGGGGCACCAGGCCAGTTTGATTCCAGCGCCTGTTAGGAATCACACCATGTCCAGGTTGCGTCATGTGACTTATTAAGAGGTTTCCAAGAAATGTCGTGCTTGTAGCTCCCAGCTGTGCTCCCATTCCCTTCTGCCTTGGTGGGCAGGTTTGGGGAGCACCACGGGGCCGCTCCTCGCCAGGCCCACCTCCGACCCCGTGATGCGATGCGATGCTCGCTCAGTCTCTCTGATGTCCCTTCTCCACAGGGCAGCACAGACTATTTCTTGAGCAGCGGCGACAAGATTCGATTCTTCTTTGAGAAAGGCGTTTTTGACAAGAAAGGTTTGGAGCTGGGGCCTAGGGGTGGGGTTACACTGGACTCGGGTATCTGCCCCCATGGTGGGGGCGGGGATGCTACCCAGGGAGGCTGGATGCTAGCTCTTCAGCCCGTACCTGTTCCTTGTGCCGCAGGAAACTTCCTGGTCCCCCCGGAGAAAGCCATCAACAAGATTGGCCACGGTAAGCGGGCACCTTGGGGGGGACTGATAAACTGAGGCCTGGCCTGGGGGGCTTAAGGGTTACCCAAAGCAAGCAGTAGGTTAGCAGCCAGCAAGTGGCATTTCTTTATCTTTTTTTTTTCCCCCCAATATATTTTATTGCCCTGACCGGTTTGGCTCAGTGAATAGAGCATCAGCCTGCGAACTCAAGGGTCCCAGGTTCGGTTCCGGTCAAGGGCATGTACCTTGGTTTCGGGCATATCCCCAGTGGGGGGATGTGCAAGAGGCAGCTGATCGAAGATTATGATTCTCTTTCATCGATGTTTCTAGCTCTCTATCCCTCTCCCTTTCTCTCTGTAAGAGGGAGCTAGAAACATTGATGAGAGAGAAACATCGATCAGCTGCTCCCGCACACTCCCCACTGGGTATGTGCCCGAAACCAAGGCACATGCCCTTGACCGGAATTGAACCTGAGAACCTTCAGTCCGTAGGCCTACGCTCTATCCACTGAGCCAAACTGGTCCCGGCTATATTGCTTATTTTTAAACATAAAGTTGTATCATCGTAGTTTTGTAAAAAATTGTCGTAAAATACATACATAAATTTTACCGTTGTAACAATTTTGAAGTGTACAACTGAATGGCATTTAAGTACATTCAACCCTCACTTTTTAAAAACTGAGGTATGATTGACATATAACATTTCTCTCTCTCTCTCTCTCTCTCTCTCTCTCTCTCACACACACACACACACACACACACACACACACACACACCGATTTTTGATTGTTTTGTAACACAGCCAATAAGAGAGGAGTGGCTGATGCAGGCCCTGGGCTGTGGTTGCATGATTGGCCCTGTGAGTCCGAGGCAGCATGGGAGGGGGCGGGCCTGCTAGTCCCATTGTGCAGAGGGGCACACTGAGGCTTACAGAGAGAGGCCACATGGAGTGAGTGGCAATACAGAGACTGTCACCACGGAGCCCTCTGTCCTTTGAGGAGTGGGGAGTCAGGGCTGGAGTGATTCTCAGATGTCTGGAAGGTCAAGAACACGGTCATGGGTGAAGTGGGACCTGTGATGGGATGAGGTTGTCTGTGGGGCCCACTCCCTGGTTATAAACAAGCAGAAAGCTTAATGCACACACAATCAGTGAGAACGAGACTCGAGTCTGGATGGCCAGGGCTAGGCGTGGGGAGGCGGGTGTTGGGGCTGGGGACTGGCCCATCAGCCCGCTCTGTCCTGCAGCTCTGCACGCCCATGACCCTGTCTTCAAGCGTGTCACACACTCCCCCAAGATGCAGGTGAGCAGAGGCGGGGGTGAGGGTGGGTGGCTAGACCGGAAGTGAGGGTGGCTAGGCTGGCAGTGTGACCTCTGCCCCCTTCCAGGCCTTGGCCAGAAGTCTGGGCCTCCAGATGCCTGTGGTGGTGCAGAGCATGTACATCTTTAAGGTGAGCTCCCTGGCTTCCCCAGGCCTCAGTTTACCCTCCAGTAAAATGGGCAGAGTGCTCATACCAGGCCCCTCCTTTTTGGGGGAAGTAAAAAATGGCTCCCCAGGTTATTGCTAAGTTGGGGGAAGAGCATGCAAAATCGGTCTTCTCTGGCTAAGGCACCTGCACTTGGTTGGTGCTCAGTTAAAATGCGGTGGCAGGAGGGAGGGGGATCCCTCGGACTACCTCCTCCCTTTGGCGATTGAAATGCTCTGCTCCCAGCTTTCAAGACCCTGCTCAGTACCACCTCCTCCGAGAAGCCTTCCAGTTCCCTTGGGAAGAGGCACTGGCCTGGTCCCGGCCTCTGTTGCTGCCCCTCACCTCTGCCTCATGTTCCGTTAGGCACGTGCATGGTCAGCCTGGGGGTGCCCTGCAGGGCGGGGTGGTTTTCCTCTTTGCAGCCCTCCTCCCTCCAGGTGCTCAGTAGATGGTGCTGATGGGAAGTCCTGGGAGGCAAACACCGGGCCAGGGAGGAGCTTCCTGCAAACCCAGAGCAGCTCCTCCCCTGCCTCCTCTGCTCTCACCGGGCCCTTCCTCTCTCTTGCAGCAGCCTCACTTTGGCGGCGAAGGTGAGCCCAGCAGAGGCCGTGGCGGGAGATCTGGGTCTTCGAGGGAGGGAAGGCGCTGGCCGCGATGCCCGTGGGCCAGGGAAGAGAGGCCGCCACCGGTCCTTCCTGGGACAGCGGATGGGGGGCATCCTGGAGCCCGGCACAGTGGTCCCCGAACCTGGGCGCACTCCTCGCTGGTTAAAACACAGGTTCCCGGGCCCCTCCCTGCAATCACGAGCCAGTAGGGCTGCCGGGGCCGGGAATCCTGTGTTCTTAACGAATTCCCTGGAATACCCACTCAGCATAGAAACCCTTTAATTCCAACACCCTGGATGCACAGATACCTGTTCGCCCCCTCCTGGGCGGCCAGCCACTTGTGCTCAGACACCTCCTGTGACGGGAACCCGCCCCTCACAGGCAGCCACTCTTCTCCCAGGAGCCCGAGCTGCCCCCTGTGACCTCCTCCATTCGGTCAGGACTGTCCCTGACCATCTGGCACCCCCACTTCCTTCAGCCATTCCTCTCCAAATGTTCTGGGGCGCCCCATTAGGACACCTTTCTCTTGACGTTGTCTGAATTGTCCGTGTGCCCCTTACAGTTTGTGCTCAGAAAACAGTTCCCCAGGAAGGAAGGGAGAGGCTAGTACTGCTTCACTTGGTTGTTACCAAGACAACCTTTGGTCAGTGGTCCCCAATCTGACTGGGCCCCAGCACCGGGGAGGGGTACTTACGGATGCTATTAGTAGTCCCCCCCTCCCCTCTCCCCACACACACATTGTGCTCAACTGCCCAGACTTACACCGCTGGGTAGAGTTAAATAGCAGCTACTTTTTTATTTTTTGTCAATCCTCACCAGAGGATATTTTTCCATTGATTTTTAGGTTGGAAGAGAGACAAGGAGAGACAGAGAGAAACATTGATGTGAGAGAGAAACATGACTGGTTGCCTTCCACAGAACCCTGACCAGGAATCAAGCCTTCAACCGAAGTATTTGCCCTTGACGGGAATCAAACCCTGGGTCCTTCAAGCTGCGGACCAAGGCTCTATCTACTGAGCAAAACCAGCTGGGGCTATAGCAGCTGCTTTTTATTTGTTTCTCCATCACCATTTATCCCCTCTGTCCTCTTTCTCCTCCAGTTAGCAGCTGCCTTTTAGCAGGTAATGCAGGTGGTATCCGCACCTTTCTCACATCGTGAAATCCTCCCGCAATCCCAGGAGGGCAATCCCAGGAGGTAGTTAGTGTTGTTGGGGCCACTTTACAGTTTAGGAAATTGGAGCTTTGAGAGGTAAAATCTCTTGTTCTGAGTCTCCAGGCCAGGAGGTGGCAAAACTCTAACGGATCCTGGGAAGCTGGGCGGGAGGGCTCGGAGAGGATTGGGGACGGGAAAAGCCCCAGGTGAGTGGGGCCGGCTCATGCCCATGGGCCGCTGCAGTCTCCTCTCACCAGGACGCCTCCTTCCTGTACACGGAGCCCCTGGGCCGGGTGCTGGGCCTGTGGATGGCGCTGGAGGACGCCACGCTGGAGAACGGCTGCCTGTGGTTCATCCCCGGCTCGCACACCGGTGAGGACACCTGTCTCCCTTCCCACATACCCCACCCGCCCCTGTCTCCCCACCAACTCACACCCCACCCGCCCCTGTCTCCCCACCAACTCACACCCGCCCGCCCCTGTCCCCCTGCCAACTCACACCCCACCCGCCCCTGTCTCCCCACCAACTCACACCCCACCCGCCCCTTTCTCCCCACCAACTCATACCCCGCCCGCCCCTGTCCCCCCGCCAACTCATACCCCACCCGTGGGAGAGGGCCCTGGGAGAAAGAAAGACCAAAGACTCCACCTTGGTCTGCAGGTGGAGTGGCGAGAAGGATGGTCCGGGACCCTGCTGGCTCGGTGCCTGGCACCAGCTTCCTGGGGTCGGAGCCAGCCCGGGATAACAGCCTCTTTGTGCCTACCCCAGTGCGGAGAGGTAGGCTGGGCACAGAGGGCGGGAAGGCAGGGCCTGTGGCCTTGCCTGTGGGTCTCTGCTGGCCCTGAGCCCCCGGAGTGCTGTGGGGTCACAGAATGCGAGGTCACTGGACACCGGGAAACTGGGAAGCAGTGGGTTAACACCAAGCCCCCCGGTCAGACTAGACTCCAGGTTCTGCTATTTCTGGGCGCTTTGGGCAAATGACTGAATCTCCCAGAACCCGTTTCTCCAGGTGGGAAGTGGGGAAGCTGGTGAGATGTGCCTAAGGTGTCACACAGAACCTGTGTGGCGCGCAGCAAGTGCCCCAAATGCCAGCTCTTAGTGCCCCTCTCCCTTTTGGAAAAGGGAAAACTGAGGTCCAACTCAGCCCTCACTGGCCAGAGCCCAGCTGACCAGCCCAGCTCCGCCTGGTTCTGCAAACACCACGGAAGGATGCCCTTGCGAAAGCTGGCCGGGGGCACAGGCCCCCAGAAGGGCCCGGATCCCGGGGACCCACGTCCCACAGCACAGCCTGATCCGGGGCAGGCTGCAGGCCCTCGTGATGGGAATGGATGGGGAGGTGAACAGGCCACAAAACTGCTGGAGCCTTGCAGGGCCCGTGTCCTTTCTTGACCTGCTGTGTCCCTGCCAGGGGCCCTCGTCCTGATCCACGGAGAAGTGGTGCACAAGAGCGAGCTGAACCTCTCTGACCGCTCCCGCCAGGCCTACACTCTCCACCTCATGGAGGCCTCTGGCACCATCTGGAGCCCCGAGAACTGGTAGGTGGTACGGGTGCCCCTGTCCCCTGCATGCCCCCTACTGGGGATTGAGCCGGTAATACTGACATCTCAGGTCATCTCCTGTCTCCTGCAGGCTCCAGCCGACAGCTGAGCTGCCCTTCCCCGCCCTGTACACCTAAAGGCTCCGCAGGCCTGGGCACGGCCCCTCCCGGGAAGCTGTGGCCGCAGACACCAGCACCTGCCGACCGCCCAGCTGCAGCGGGAAGTCACCTCTCTGCTCCTGAGCTTTCCTTCTGCCAGTGTCTGTGCCCCTTGGCCCTGCAGACAGGCGGGCAAGGACAGGGGGCCGGCTGGGCAGTGGGAACCCTCCCCGCTGCCCCAACACAAGCTCCCTCTGGAGGCGGCTCTCGGCTACAAAAGGGTTCTGGCCACTCCTCTGCCAGCTTCTTCCTCTTCTTGCCCCTCAGACAGAACACTATTACAGTGCAAGGCACTGAATAAAAATGGCTTCCGAATGCAGCTTCCTGATCCTTCTTTCCCGAGCAGATAGGTTGCCAAAGTGAAGGCCCTGCTGAAAACCATCCCACGTATCCCAGCTTGCATGGTGAGGACTGTCATTTTCCTAACAAGTCACCTTTAGTGGGCACTCATTCCCTGAGCTGAGCTCACCTGCCGTCCCACTGAGTCCTCACCCCGATGGACCTTCAAGGTAGGCGCTCTTACCACCACGTTCGCAGGATAAGGGAGCTGTGCAAGTCACACAGCTGTGATGTTCAGGAGCTCAGCCTGTGTGCCTCACCTTGCGGAGGAGGAAGACTATCTATCAGGGCTGGGAACCTAGTCCGGGATTCTGGTCCTGGCTCTGTGACCAAGTACCTTCCTAACCTCAGGCCACGCCCTTCCTCTCTCTGGCCCTGACAGGGGGCCTCCATGGGTCCCTCCTGCTTGGGACTGGCTGGCAGACCTTTTGTAGGAACATCTACCAAATCCAGACCCTGTTTAGCTGGGGTCTCCCCAGGAGATTGCAAACCAGGGGCTATTAGCTGATTGCAGAGCACAGACATGTTTTGTCAGGGACTTGGCATTTTTTTTTTATAAATACATTTTTATTGATTTTGTACAGAGAGGGAGAGAGAGAGTATGAAACATCGATGAGAGAGTGTCATCGATCAGCTGCCTCTTGCACACTTACTACTGGGGATATGCCCGCAACCAAGGTACATGCCCTTGACCGGAATCGAACTCGGGACCTTTCAGTCCCCAAGCCGACGCTCTATCCATTGAGCCAAACGGGTTTTGGCGGCCTTGGCATTTTTATTATTTAAAAAATATTTTTATTTCAGAGAGGAAGGGAGAGGGAGAGATAGAAACATCAGTGATGACAGGGACTCATTGATCGGCTGCCTCCTGCATGCCCCCTACTGGGGATTGAGCCTGAAATCTGAAACCCGGGCATGTGCCCTTGATTGGATTCAAACCTGGGACCCTTCAGTCCCATGGCTGATGCTCTATCCACTAAGCCAAACCAGTTAGGGCACCTTGATATTTTTTTTTTTTTTTTAAAGACAATCTATTGAGCCGAAACCGGTTTGGCTCAGTGGTAGAGCTCGGCCTGTGGACTGAAGGGTCCCGGGTTCAATTCCGGTCAAGGGCATGTACCTTGGTTGCGGGCGCATCCCCTGTGGGGGTGTGCAAGAGGCAGCTGGTCGATGTTTCTCTCTCATCGACGTTTCTAGCTCTTTATCTCTCTCCCTTCCTCTCTGTAAAAATCAATAAAATATATATTTTTTTAAAAAAGACAATCTATTGAGATGCTACATTCTTTTTCTTTCTTTCTTTCTTTTATTTTTTTAAATATATTTTTGATTTTGTACGGAGAGGGATAGAGAGTTAGAAACATCGATAAGTCATCTATCAGCTGCCTCTTGCACACCCCCTACTGGGGATGTGCCCCGCAACGAAGGTACATGCCCTTGACCAGAATCGAACCCGGGACCCTTCAGTCCCCAAGCCGATACTCTATCCAGTGAGCCACACTGGTCCTGGCCACCTTGATATTTTCATAAAAATTTCTTAAAATTGAGCGATTTCGCAAAACAAGATTTCTAAGCTTCCTTGAAAGCACTGGGCCAGTGGGCTGACATGCTGACAACTTCCCCTGTCCTCGGTCACTGCATTCCTGCCTGGCCTCGGCGCCGAGGGAGTGTGTGCCCTTGTTTCCAGCCCCGACTGTGTGCATGGACACGCCACGGCACAAAGGACAGACGCCTTTCCCAAGACAACAGGAGGCGAGTCAAAACCGCTGCTCTTCCCCGACATTCTGCCACCTCCTGTGGCCAGCAGAAGGGAGTCAGAGAAGGGGAGGGTTTGTCAAGTCTCAGCTCCAAAAGAATGTCTCAATTCTTTTCGGAGGGAAAGGACATGGGGTAATCCCACGAGCTCCCCGGACCTCCCTTCCTGGCGTCTGGCCTTAGTGGGCCCAAGTTCTCACCCCTTCCTGCGGGCCTCCCACAGGCTGGGTGGAAGTGGGGAGTTGCTCCTCTCCCCCCAGCCCTTCCTCACATGCAACAAGCTCTTCCCAGCCGCCCCCACGGAGAAACCGCATGCCTTTGGCTCTTTTCCCCGGGGTTCGTCTCCAAATGAAGCCAAGGTCACTCTGGCCTCCGAGTATAACCCACAGGAGGACAGCCGCTGGCTGGCGGAAAGGACTGGCCTTGGGTAACGGTGCACTTTCCCTTACTGACTGCTCATGGAGTGTGGGCCCCGGGCTGGATCAGTACACACCGCACCTCATCGGATCCTCACAGCCTTCTGAGGCGCAGAGAACTGAGGCCCAGAATGGGGAAGCCAGCCACACAGTTAAGAAGTGGTACAGTTTGGCTCAGTGGATAGATCGTCGGCCTGCAGACTGAAGGGTCCCAGGTTCGATTCCCGATTAGGGCACATGCCTGGGTTTCGGGCTCAAAACCCAGTAGGGGGTGTGCTGGAGGCAGCTGATCAATGGTTCTCTCTCATCAATGTTTCTATCTCTCTCTCCCTTCCTCTCTGAAATCAATATATATATATATATATATTTAAAAAGAAGTGGCATAGCCAAGGATTGACACAGAGCCTGAAGTGTTAACCATTATGCAATATGGCCTCCAGTGTCCACTCTGGCCCCCTCTGAGGATTGCAAGATGAGAGGCAGGGCCCCATAGCGTATGCAAGTCGAGTTGTTGCACCATCTTTTAAGCCCTTTTTAAAAAACATATATATATATAATTCGATTTCAAGAGGGAGAGGCAGAGACATAGAAACATCAATGATGAGAGAGAACCATTGATCAGCTGCCTCCTGCACAACCCCCCACTGGGGATCAAGTCCACAACCTGGGCATGTGCCCTGACCGGGATTCAAACTCCTGGTACCTAAGTCGACGCTCAACCACTGAACCACACCAGCTGGGCGGTCTTTTTGCTTTTGAATATCAATAAAACTTAAAACCGGGAGAGCTTTAATTTTTATTTTGAATCTGAATCAACTGAAAAATCAAACCTGCTTCTCACCACTTGCCTCTTTATGTCCAAGTGGCTGGCTGTTGTGGGGACCATCGGTTCTCTCCACGGCCCCGTTTCCATCATTGCTGCCGTACAACAGCTAGGCCATCAGCAGTATCAGGAGATAGAGGGGCAAAAGGAGGTTGTCTATCTGCGTAGTATATGCTTCTAGAAGGGACACTGTGCTGATGGACCCCAATATCCAAGCGTAACTCTGGTTTATGTCCACTTCATTGTCAAAGATTAAGATGAGAGCTACAGAAATGATCTGGGCAAAGATAGATGTCATGGTCCCCTCGAACGTCTTTTTGGTTCCGGGCCAGCGGATTTCCCCCATGGTGCTGCCAAAGATGGAGGCCACGGTGTCACCCACGCCCACAGCCAGGACGCCGGCGTAGGGGACCAGGGCTCTCGCTCCCCCCAGGCTACCCATCTCTGTACAGGGTCTGGGGATCAGCCAAATGGGAAGAGACATGCCCAGGAGTAGGTAGATGTGTGTCAGGATGAGCGGTCCGCTGTCTCGTTCGTCCAGGAAGAGGGAGAGGAGGCTGCGCAGAGTGTGGCCCAGGGGCTTGATGCGGAAATAGCGCACATACTCTAAAAAGATGAAGACTGCCAGACATACGGTGGCGGCCATGTAGAGCAGGTATTGGTCAAAGATGATCCCTGGGATGTAGGTGGCCACCACAATGAAGTGGAAATATTTCCGGGTAATGGTGGGGGCCTGGTGCTTCTTGGATTCAGAGGATGACCGCTTGGCATTCTGGTACAGTACCACCAGGCAGGCAAAGGTGGCCAGCAAAGACCAGTAGGCTAGGAGGTAGATGCGGATGTTCGTCTGGAAGAGGAATTGTAGAAGCCATAACAAGGGGTTCCTACGGGTGAGCCGATAAAGCCAGGGCAGGGCCACGCCAAGGACCAGCACACAGGTCATCAGGTGGAAGAAGATGGAGGAGGCCCAGGTACCTGGGTCCATGAAGGCAAAGAAGGAGCTGAAGATGAGGCCCATGAGGACCATCCCTACCACCACCACCAGCAGGAAGTAGTCCACGGGCTCTCCCTGGCTCTCCACCACAGTGAGGGAGCGCTTGATGAGCTGGTTGAGCAAGAAGCTGATGCCACTCAACACCAGCAGCGCCTCCCCCGGGGTGAAGCAGCGGGGCAGCAGGTACAGCAGGATCATGTTGAGGTAGACGAAGATCAGCAGGACCTCCAGGACCTCGATGACCTCGCCCACCTTCAGGGAGTGCTTCATGATATACGTGATGACGCACCCAGCCAAGCCCGAGATGACGCAAGTGTTGGTGGGCAGGGGGCGAGTGATGCCCAGCGCCAACACTGAAGAGAAGAAGGACACTGCCATGCCGGTGGCTGCCACCACAATGCCGAAGCGCTCGAAGTACGGGTTCCCAGCGGCCTCGCAGCGCTCCTTCATGACCAGTCCGAGCAGAGGCATGACCATGGAGGCGGGCAGCAGGCCGCTGTTCGCGGACATTCGGAACTGGAAGACGGCGCTTCCCTGCTGCAGCAGCCGGTCCCACTTGTACTGGACGTAGAAGGCCTGCACCGCCAGGGCCACGGCGCACCACGAGTACCGGTCCATCACCACGGCGTGAATGCTCAGCACCACGGCGAACACCACGGCCGCCTCGGCCAGCACCGACCCGCTCAGCGGGGCGCCGGTCTCGGGGGCCCCGGGCGCGCGATGCCGGGTCATGTCTCTAGGCCGGGGACCCGGACAAAACGGGGTGACCGGGGACGCCTTGGACTTTGGGCCCCGCAAGCCCTCCCAGGCAGAGAGCCGCAGCCTCACGCGGCCGGCACCTTCTCTCCTCGCTCTCCAGCGGAGAGGACGCAAGCTCCACGGTCGGGCACCCTCTGATGCCTGGCAGCTGGTGCCCGGTCACCCTCCACCACCTCCCACCTACTGCGCAGAAGTTGCCACTCCGCCGCCTTCATCACAGCCTGGGCTGCCGCAGCCCCGGGATCCTAACCTCTCTCGGAGGCCGCCATCTTGGCTCCGCCCCGCCGTCACGTGACGCAAAGCCCCGCCCACGCGCCCGTGTGGAGACGAGCGGTCACGTGGGCGCGGCGCTTGGGGGCGGGGCGGGCGCGCGCGCGCGGGCGCCGAAGATGGCGGCTGCCGCCGGCGAGCTGTGTGTGAGGTGCGGAGCGGGCCGAGGCGGCCGGGGCGGCCGTGAGGCGTGGGCTCGAGGCCGAGTGGAAACGGGGCGGGAGCAGGGAGCGACATGTGGCGGCGGGAGCGGGGCGAAGCCCGGCCTGGTGAACGGGCGCCAAGACGGGAGGCGGTTACGTCCAAACGGTCCCCTCGCGTGGGGATCCGAGGCGACTTCTCCGAGAAGGGGGCCGGTGCCTCAGCCCTTCTCGCGGCGCCGCCCCCGGTCTCCTCACCCAATTTCCTCCCCTTCCTTCCCTCTCCCCAAGGGCGCGCCCTCGGCCCCCCACCGCCTCCCGCCGCGCTTCCTCGTCTGGCGTGACGCCCCTTCGGGGCGCGACGGGGCGCTTCGCGGTCGCCCGGGGGAGCCCCGTTCGCTCCCCGGGGCTTCGTGACGCCGCGCCGCCGCCTCCGCCCTTGCCCTCTCCCCGCGCAGCCTTTCATTCATCCGTCCGTTCACGTTCTCGGGCGGCGGCTCCGTCCCCGACCCGCCCGGCTCCCGCACGAGGTGCCAGGCGCCGCCCTGGGCGCGGGGACCAGGAGGTGAAATAGTAAAAGGAAAGCGCTCTGCCTGGCGCAGACCCCGGGGAGGCGCGTCCCGGACCGAGTCCGCCCCTCTCCGCTCCGGAGGCGCTCATGGCCGCTGACTCACCGCCCGGCCCGGACGGCGAGGGGGAGCCGCGGGGGTCTCCGTCTCCGTCTCCGTCTCCGCGGCGCGGCGGGAAGGCTCCGTGCTGCTGCCACCCTCCTCGGAGCGCCCATCCCCGGCGGCCCCGGCCCGGCTGCCTCCCTGCCCGCCGTGGCCCGGGCCCCCCGAGGGGCAGGTGGCCGGCGCTCGGCACATACTGCGGGCGGACCCACCTCCCTCCCCTGCCGGCTGCTGGGCCCGCTTTGGGGCTTGTGAGGACCAGCTTGCTTTTCCTCCTCTGCTGCTTCCTGTCAGCCCTGAGCCACAGGCGGCGGCGGGGTGGTCTCTGCGTCCCCCTCTTCGTCATCGTGGTGGAGCCTGGGTGAAGGTTAGCTCCTGCAGCGGGAGGCGAGGCGTGTTCTTAAATGACATGGAACAAGGGAAGAGAAGCGTGAAAAAATGCTTTGATCGTCCCGGGAACCCTCCCAACTCATACTTTGAAGACGGAAGAAGTGACCTAAGGACTTGACGCTCAGTACTCAGAGCCTCTGTCAGGAGAACATCCTCCGTCCTCAGTGATAAAAACCTAATCTGTTAGCCAAGTTGTCGCGGCCACAGCTGTTCAATCGGAGTGCTTATGCTGGTAATAGGCTAAGGCCCCTCAACTGCTCGCTATGACGGGCACTGGCCGCCAGGGGGCAGACGCTGCCACCCGTAGGTTAGTTTGCTGCTGGCGTCCAGCAGATCAGGACTGGGGGAGACAGGCCAGACACGCCCGGGGACTCTCCCACGGTGTCTGTCTCCGCGCGCCCCCCCCCCCCCCCCAACCTCCAGCGTTTCTCTCAGCCGATCATGCACTGGTGAGGTCCCTCAGCCTGGCCTGCACCCTCGCAATCCAAGACCCCCTCCGGGGATGTTGGAGAGCCGGTTTCCGCCTATCCTGCAGGCCAGGCTGCGGAACCCCACTGGTGCACGAATCCGTGCAGCTTCCTTCTGTTGAAATGCCTAAAGATCTGGACCGAGAACACTAATTTTCGATTCCTGATGCCTGCTGATATGCAAGTGACTTCAGACAGGCCACCTTGCCAACCTGGTTTGTTTCTCCAGATGTGAATCCTTTTTAGAACAGTTCTGAGGTGGCTCGGAAGCATGTAGGAAAGCCATGTGAGTTGGCAGTAGTCAAACATGGAATACTCTTAGATCAGTCAGGCTTTGAGAAGGTCATTCAGGGTTTGTCAGAAACTCTGTTTGAATATTGGCATTTTGGGGTATCGTGTTTTTCAGTTAATATGTTTCTAGGTGTTGGAATGGTGTACCTGTACTAAAAAAAATGGTGGTGTGAAAAGCTTTCTGCTATGTTTAAACCGCGCAGGAGAGATGAGCCTCATCTGTGGAGTGAGAGTATCCGTGGGCAGTGACCACTTTCTTTTTTGTTGTTAATCCTCACCTGAGGATGGATGCATTTTTATTTTTTAGAGAGTGGAAGGGAGTGGGGGGGCATTGCTTGGTTGCCCCCTGCATGCACCCCAACTGCCCCGATCAGGGCTGGGGATCGAACCTGCATGCCAGGTACATACCCTTAACCAGGAATCGAACCCTGAGAAATGCAGGCCAAGGCAAGCAGTGACCACTTTTGTTTATTATCTTCATGTGGAATATAACTTTCTCAAAAGAACTACTCAGAGTAGGTTGGCTGTGTCTCAGCTTTCTACCTAAAGGATGCAGTTGTAGAGACTGTTATTCCTAGCCTCCCAGTGTTCACCCAACATTTTCCAGTGACATGGATCTCTCTAAGGAAGATAATTTCCAGTTTCCAGCTCATTTAGGAATGGAGTTCCATGTTGCCTGCCAGAACATTGGCCTGGAAATCAATAAAATTTAACTTTACCCTTCAGGCTACTTATTTGATTTCTGTTCCTTAGTTTCTCCTACAAATACTTACTGCAAGTATATTTTTATAAATAAACGAGACATGATAGTATATATTTTGTTTGTGAAAAAATATATTGAAGATGCTTCCCTGAGTCTTTGGCTTGGATGTAACAGTTCAAGCCATGTCTTGTGTCCTGAGAATCACCGGCTTAAACCTTCCAAGTCCCTATTTGAGGTGAAGTCATTTATTAGTCCTTGGATCAGTTCCCAGTGATCTTTCTCTTCTCTGACCCTCTTTTTGTCTTAGAAGATTATATTACTTTGGAGTGTTTGTTAGGATTAAGCTCTTCATTACTTTCTACTTTTTTGCTGATGTGTGGGTAATGTGTGCTTCACATCCTTTATCAATCCCAATACCAGTGTATTAGCATCATGAAGTTCTAGATTTATTTGGATTCCCATTATTCCTAGACCAGTAAATGTGTAGGAATTGAGGAATCAGTAACATTCATTTCCACAAGGATTCCCTTCCTGTTAAATTACTGTTTTCTCTTTTATTCTGTCTTCTCTTGGCACTTCTGCAGAGACTTGTTTTTTTCTAATTTTTCTCTTCCAATTAGATTACAGGTGTAAAAGGGACTTACCCTCCTCCTGTGGTAGTCATTCATCAGCATGTAATTTTGAGCCTCTCCTGTGTGCCAGCCACTGTATTATGGGTATGGTGTGCCCTTCTAGAGCAGAAAGCTTCACCTCAGTCTTTGCTTGTAGGATAAATTCTTTGGTGCACCTTGAAGCAGTGTAGTGTAAGGATTAAACTCTGCATTTGTGCAAACGTGGGTCCCAGCTCTGGCTCCATTATATATATTGGCTTTGTGGTGTTAGGCAACTTACTTAACGACCCTTAAACCGTAGTTTTCAGAAGAAATACTGGAGATAATAACAGTGTCTGCCTCATAAGTTGTTCATAATCAACAAGTCAAGGTGTTCGGTGCCTGGCAATTACAACTGCTTAATGTTGATTCTCGTTATGATCAAATACTAATTTTTAAAGAAAATATTTGTATTGATTTCAGAGAGGAAGGGAGAGGGAGAGAGAGAGATAGAGACATAATGATGTTAGAGAATCATTGATTGGCTGCCTCTTTTACCCCCCTACTGGGGATCGAGCCCGAAACCAGGGCATGTGCCCTTGACCGGAATCCAACCTGGGACACTTCAGTCTGCAGGCTGACGCTCTGTCCACCGAGCCAAGCCAAGTAGGGCTATATTTTAGTTTTTAATTTTAATTTTGAACATCAAACTTCTAAGAATACAATAGGGTTACTGTCCAAAATTTTAACAAATTGTTTTGTACATTGAGCTTTTTGCTTTAGAGAATAGATAAAATAGCTGTGAGATAGTTTAGTCCAGTCTGCTTTCTGTCATTTCCCAGGAGCAGTAGAGAACTGTGGACAATTCTGCTTGGAAGGTCAGCTCTGAGAGAACTGGTAAGTGATGGTATTTTTGAGTGGCTTCTATGGATCTTCGTGCAGTTTGTGTGTTTTTTTAAGTGCCTTCTCTTTGAAGTAGGAAGTAAACACATTTTTTAAATTCTAAAACTTTATATATTTCTTTTCTCTGCTGAAATGTAGGGTGTCTTATAGTCTCGCTGCTAAAAGTTTTCTAAATCTCTGCCTTTCTTGTTCTTTAGTGATTTCTTTTCTGAAAAGAGAACAGTGCTGCTTGATTGGCTACTGAGGGTCATGGTACAAATACTGTTCTGCTACCTCAGGCTAAAAAGATTCTCAGGCCTTTTCTATCTCCTACTTTACTTGCCTTTTCTCCCTTTTCCATTTAGCTAGCTCCTTAGGTCAGAGAGGCTGTGGTTTCTAGGACATTTTCCAGTATATAATCTATAAAGGACAGTTCTTCAGATTGATCCTCTAGTGTTCTGACTCTGTGAGCGTAAAATGTTACGATGACACTCAATTATTACTATTGTTGTTGTTATTGTAATTAATAAAAGGAATATTACACCTTTTTTAGAGCCTTAACATTTTTT